TCCTCTCATCCAGTTTTCAGTTCTGTCTCAGGGGTAATTTTTCCACGAGTAGTTGTAAATTGGCTGTGTCCATGGGAGGAGGTGAGTTCAGAGTCTGCCTACACCGCCATCTTGACTCCGCCTCCTGGGGTGACTGATGGACACTATGGGGACAGGAGACATGGTAGTGATGAGCTACCTTCTGCCACAGGTGCTCTGCAGTTTAAAAAGTCAATGTAGTTACAGAAAAATTCACAAGCATCTGGTACTGACAGTGAATTGGGGATCCTCAGAAGTATAAGTTTCAAATTCTGACTGATCAATCCCATATAAAGCCTACACTCTGGTGTGTTTTTATGTTAAACTAGGTGATAGCATATTCAGATAACGGCTAAGGATTCTTTCTAGTATGAACATTCTGGTGGGCGATGAGAGGAAATCTTTCACTGAAAGTTTCTGCACATTTGCTGTACAAATAAGGGTTCTCCTCAGTGTGGACTTTTTGGTGCTGAACAAGTCCATCCTCGTGACTGAAGGTTTTCTCCCATTCATTACACTCATAAGCTCATTCTCCTGTGTGAATTCTCTGGTGCTGTAAAAGATTTTCTTTGTAGACAAAGATCTTTACACACTCACTGCATTTATAACATGTTTCTTAAGTGTGGACTTCCAAGTCTATTCTTGCAGCTGAAGGCTTTCCACATTCATTACATTCATAAGGTTTTTCTCCAGTGTGGAGGCTCCGGTACTCAAGATGATGCTTCTGGATGAAGGCTTTCCTACATTCACAGCACTGACAATGCCTCTCTCCAGTGTGACCTTTCTGGTGCTTAAAGAGGTGACAGCTGAGTCTAAACAACTTGCCACATCCATTACACTCATAAGGCTTTCCTGCAGTGTGGATTCTCCAGTGAATGAAAAGTATTTTTTTGTAGGTGAAGGACTTTCCCCATTGACTACACTCATAATGTCCTTATCCAGTGTGAACTTTCTGGTGGTTTTTGAGGGCAGTGCTGCGTGTAAACCATCTCCCACATTCGTTACACTCATAAGGCTTTTCTCCAGTGTGGATTCTCTGGTGCTCAACAAAACGATATTTGTGGATGAAGGCTTTCCCACATTCACTGCACTCATAAGGCCTTTCTCCAGTGTGAACTTTCTGATGTATAATGAAGGCAGACCTGTGTGAAAACAATCTTCCACATTTGCTACACTCATAGAGATTTTCTCCAGTGTGGATTCTCTGGTGCTCAAGAAGTATTTTTTTGCAGGTGAAGGACTTTCCACATTGACTGCTCTGACAAGGCCTTTCTCCAGTGTGGAGTTTCTGATGCTTAATGCGCTCAGAGCTGCGTGTAAACAACCTCCCACATTCATTACACTCATAAGGCTTTTCTCCAGTGTGGATTCTCTGGTGCTCAGGAAGATAATCTTTCCGGTTGAAGGCTTTGCCACATTCACTGCACTCATAAGGCTTTGCTCCAGTATGGATTCTCTGATGTACGATGAAGACAGACCTGTGTGAAAACAACCTTCCACACTTGCCACACTCATAAGGCTTTTCTCCAGTATGGATTCTCTGGTGCTCAATAAGTATTTTTTTGTACATGAAGGACTTTCTGCATTGACTGCACTCATAAGGCCTTTCTCCAGTGTGAACTTTCTGATGTATAACGAAGGTAGACCTGTGTGAAAACAACCTTCCACATTTCCCACACTCATAAGGCTTTTCTCCAGTGTGGATTCTCTGGTGCTCAATGAGTATCTTTTTGTACATGAATGACCTTCTGCAGTGACTGCACTCATAAGGCCTTTCTCCAGTGTGGACTCTCTGGTGCTTAATGAGGTCAGAGCTACCTGTAAACAACCTCCCACATTCGTTACATTCATAAGGCCTTTCTCCAGTGTGGATTCTCTGGTGCCCAATGAGATGGTGTTTCCGGGCGAAGGCTTTCCCACATTCACTGCACTCATAAGGCCTCTCTCTAGTGTGAACTCTCTGGTGTTCCATGAATTTAATCTTTTCAGTGAAGTCTTGCCCACATTCACTGCATTTGTAATTCCCTTGCTGAGTGTGAGAGGCCTCCCTGCTCTCCCTGCTTCTAGGTGGTTGCTTTCCACTCTGGGTGTCCTGCTGGAGAAAGTCCAAGTTACCCAAGAAATCCTTCTCAAGCTCTCCACATGTGATGATATTGTCTGACACAAGGATTTTGCAGCTCTCTACAGGTGGCGGCCTGTTCTCCTCCCTCCTGATGCATTTCTCTCCACTGTGCTGCTTCTGCTGCTGGTATAGGTATGAACTGAATGAGAATGGTTCTCTACAAACCCCAAAAGTGTATGCTTTCAGCCTAGGTTGCACGCATTGGTGCTCAGCCAGGTACAAAACGTCTTGCTCCACCAGGACACACATATCGCAGGAATGAGTCTTCGAGACAGAAGGGACTGCCTTTGGAGTCTTGGTTTGTGACACTCTTTCCACAGAAGTACCTTCCTCAGAAGGGGCCTCCTCAGCTTTTACTCCATGCCAACAACCTGAAAGCACAAAAATGCTGATGAAGTGCCTGTAGACGTTGGTGGAACAGGACAGCCCATTACAATGTGTGTAAGACGCAAGCATGAATGACTCCATGGGTTTGTTTTCAGGACAACGGAGTCAGGATCAGGTGGAGTACCTGGATCTGCAGTACTGGCTTCTGATGGTCACAGAGAGGGGGAGGTCTCACATCCAGCAAGAAAACAGGGTATGGTGCTATGCTGGGAGGAGAGGCCTGATACACCTTACTCCTCTGCCCATGGTTCTCAACAGGACCTCGTCTGCAGAGGACAGGCGAGTGCTGTGTAGAATGTATGTCCCACCCCAGCAAAAGGTAATTGCAACTGGGTACCTGGAGGTCAAGGATTATTTAAGTCTATGTTTACCTGTCCTGACACATTCAGTGTAGACAAATGTTGGAGAACACACCAGAGGGAGAGGAACAGGAGAGATGTAAAGGACACAGAGGAAGGGGACAACTAGGGGTCAAAAGTCACAATAGAAATAAAAATGTGGGCAAAATATCAAGGATGGGGAGGAAAGACAGAAATGAGGTACAGCCATCAGCCTTGCACTAGAACAGTAGCAAGCAAAGGACACTTGTCTGATATGACTAGAACTCATCCACAACAGCACACCTTCCTCCTGCTCCTACTCACTAGGTCCAGGATCCCATTGCCCGCCCCCCCACCCCCCGCCCATAGCCAGACAGGTGTCTATCCCCTCAGGCACCCAGGGCTGTCCTCCACCCCTCAGCTCAAGTTGGACAACTAAATGGGACCTAGTAGATCAGAGTCCTAAGGAGAAAATAGGATAGTTAAGTGGACGACACCGGCCCAGAGTGACCCAACACACAAGAGACCACAGGAAAGAATCCATTACTAGAAGAACCTGGAGGAAAATCTTGCAAAAATAATCTAGTGTTGTCCACAAATACTGACCAGCAAATGGGTGTAACTGCTGAGACAGGCAGTGCACAAAAAAGGGGGGCAGATCCTGTGAGAGAGATCTTCCACAGATCCAACAGTCAATACAGCAAGAGTGGCAAAACAAACTGGCATTGGTCAGGCAAGTCACAAGACTCTGAGACCAACCCTTTGTGTGAATGGCTTTAGGGAAGAAGGTTGTTAGGGCTGAATACATACAGAGTCTATGCCAGAAAACCAGGGAAGGAATCAGTGTCCATGGTCCAGGTTTGGAAAAATTGGAGTGAGCCCTGGAAAAAGGAGAAGAGCAGAGCCGAGTATAGGGCAATAGTGTGGGAGCGAGGGTCCTTACCCAGGGAGGCTATAAGTGACCAGTTCTCCAGCATTACATCTCGGTACAGGCATCTCTGAGCATCATCAAGGAGACCCCACTCCTCTTGGGAGAAGAACACAGCCACATCCTCAAAAGTCACATGGCCCTGTCATGATGAGGGTAGAGGAGATCATAAGCAGCCTCTTAAACCAGGACTCCCAGGTCATGGCCCTCCTCTCCAAATCCTGAACTCAGAGAAGATACCGAGTCCTGGTGCCACTGGTACTTGCTCTCTCTTCATGTCCCACTGACCCCTGCCTCCAACCATCAGGAAGAACAGACAGGGGGAGAGGCAGTCTCATCTATGATCTGGCACTGGCAAAGAGAGTCCCAACCACTGTCCTCACAGTCAACTGTCCTGGGATAGCGCAGATCATGCCACAAAAAGTGACACTTAGGCTCAGCCTTCTGGCTTAAACCTTGAGTACAAGGACCCTGAGTACCTCCTCACACTCCCTCTCCATCTGCTCAGCACTATGGGATCACTCCTCTCTCACATGCCAGACCCCAACCACTACACCTAGAACACCACTGCCACCTCTGTCCACGCCTTACACATCTCACTGGCTTCCCCACATGCCACTCAGCACATGGCAACCAGGCAATGCTTGCCAAAGGTAACAAGATCCAGGGCTACCCCAGGCCTCTGATGGACCCCACTGCCAGTGGAGGTCCCAGCACTGCTTTTAAGTCCTCCCCACCTAGCCCTGGCCTTGTTCCAACCTCAGCCACCCAGACCTTGTGTGGAAGTCAGACAGCCTAAGCCCTCGTCCTCTTTAGTGTTGCATGTGTTGTCTCTACACAGTCACCTTTCCTCTCTACACCTCCTCTCACTCAAAGCCCAGTCTCACCTCTCCCACCACAGCCCAAGAGACTCTCCCAGGTGACCTCATTCACCATTGAGCTAATCTGTCATCCAGTCTGACACTCTCCAGGCACCACCAGGAGTTATCAAAAAACTCTGAGACTATGGAGGGGAGAAAAGCACCAGGCCTTACCTCAGTGTCAACTGACCTCTATTATTGCTATGTTTCTTAATAAATCTCTTATCTACACACTAGGAATCCTGTGCCACCACCTGGACGTCCACCTAAAGTCTGCGCCCACACCACACACACACTCATGGCCACTGTACTTTCTCATCTGTCTTCATGATGACAGCCACTCCTATCCAGGTGCCAAAGCAAGTGAGCCAATCCTTGGAGAATACTCTCCCTATCCTTCCCCCATAATGGCATTGCCACCATGACCTAAGGAGTGCCCCTCTTCAATATGACATAGTGCACATGCCAGCCACTTGCTGATGGTTACTTCAAATTGAAGCCCTTCCCCAAACTCCAGAGGTGTGTTTCTAGATGTCCACTAGATGTTTCCACTCAGAGGTCCTAATAGTATCTCAGACTCAACAAGGCAAAAACCTAACTCCTGAGAGTACTTCTGTTAATTATTCCTACTATTGGCTTTCCATCTCAGCAATGGCACAACCACACTTTCACCTAAAGCCACACATCTTAGGCTCGTGCCAGATTCTCTCTCACACATTGTACAGCAAAAAAATCACCCTTAATTACAAAACAGATTGAGAAACTAACCTCTTCTCTAACTACAGAGCCACAGCTGTGATACAGCCACTATCAACACTCACCAGGACTGTAGCCTCCCCAGGGTCTCCCTGCCTCCACGCTCACCCCCACAATCTGTCCTACACTTCTCAGGCAGAGTAGCCTGTTTAGACCTCAGTCAGATCACTTCCATCCTCTGCTCCAAGTCCAGGGACCCACCACCCTCAGTAGAGCTCCAGCTCCTCATTCTGCCCCTCCAGGACTGACTCTTGCCCTTCAATCTCTGTTCCTAGCAGGTGGCTGGAGTCCTGCAGTTCCCTGAACACTCCCAACTCATTCTCATCTCCAAGCATGTGGACACACCAGTTCCTGTGCCCAGGAAATCTTTCATTATTTCACCTTACTAACAGGAGAAATGGAGAGCCCTCAGTACAACTCTGACCTTGATTAAGGACCCTGTGCCTGGGCTGGCCCCAGGGCTTAGCGGTTAAGTGCACGCTAAGTGATCTGGGTTCAGATCCCAGGCACGCACCTACACACCACTTCTCCGGCCATGCAGAGGCCACATCCCACATACAGCAACTAGAAGGATGTGCAACTATGACATACAACTATCTACTGGGGCTTTGGGGAAAAAAAAGGAGGACTGGCAATAGATGTTAGCTCAGAGCCAGTCTTCCTCAGCAAAAAGAGGAGGATTAGCATGGATGTTAGCTCAGGGCTGATCTTCCTCACAGAAAAAAAAAAAAAAAAAAAGGACCCTGTGCCTGAGGTGACCCCAGGACCCAGAACTAAGGGCAGAGAGTCCCAAGACATCACCGTCTCCTAATTCGTGTGCCTGGACCATGGGGATAGGGATGAGGGTCAGTGAGGTACTGGGACATCTTCTACTTACCTGTGAAGGGTCCATAAATGCTGCTGCTACCATGGGAACCTGTGGAAGAGGGAGGATGTGAGAAAAGGTGATCATGGTGGGTGGTAAAGGCTGACCTGTTCCCTTCCTTCCTTGCCCTGGAGAAGGGTGACCTCAAGCTGACATCTAACCTCAGATCTCAGTCCTCAGAGCTAGCACTTAATAGCTGAATGGCCTTGGAGAATTAATCAACCTCCCTGAGACTCAGTGTCCTCATCTGTAAAACGGCAACACTTATGGTGCCTAGCTCAGAGCATCGATGCAGACTGCACACATCCCTTAGGCATCTGACCACAGGATTAACATTTCTATAAAAGGTTTTGAAAATTAGGTGTTTCTTACATGTTTTTTAAGTCTTTATGCGAATGTCAAATTTGATCAATACCCTGAGGTTTCTGTGACTGTCTTTGTGGCACCAAATTTATGGTGTCTTTACCAACTCCAATCATCTGATTCTTTAACAACTGGATGTACTACAATTGAATCCTATTCTCACCAGAATCCACAGGTTTGAGGGCTCAGTCCCACAAGACTGTCTTCCCTGCAGAAGCCAGTTGCAAGTCCCCGATCCCCAGGCTACCAGTATTTCTGTCCACCTTGGCTAAAAATTCAAGGTTTCCCTTTGATCCCTCCTCAGTTTCAATAGTTTGGTAGAATGATTCGCAGAACTTGGGAAAACGCTTCACTTACCTGTACTGCTTTATTATAAAGGATACAACTTAGGAACAGCCAAATGGGAGCTGTCTAGGGCAAGGTGTGGGGTGAGGGCAGCAGAGTTTCCATGCCCTTTCAGTATGATCCACCCTCCCAGCACTTCCACCATTTCAATGTGTTCACTAACCTAAAAGCTCCCTGAATCTCACTGCTCAAGTTTATATCCCTAAGCTCCAGCTCCCCTCCCATCTTTGGGAGGCTCAGGGTGAGCCTGCAAGTTTCAACTTCTAATCACTTTGTCTTTCTGGTGACCAGACCTATCCTGAGGCTACCTAGGGGAACCACCCTAAGTCACTTCATTATAATAAACGTCCATGTGATAAAATGAGCTAGTTACAAATAACAAACAAGCACTATTAATACCCAAGAAATCCCAGGGTGTTAGAAGGTCTATGTCAAGACCCCATGACAGAACCCAAATACAAACACATACACATATAGATAATATTACACCACAAGTGTAAGTTGTCATTTCAGTGAATTACTGGAGTCATGCCTCACATAACAAAGTTTTGGTCAGTGAAGGACAGCATACATTGTGGTGGTCCCAAAGATTAGTATCATGGAGCCCAGGTGTGTAGTAGGCGATACCATCTAGCTTTGTGTAAGTACATTCTAGGATGTTTGCACAAGAAAAAAATCAATGATGAATTTCTCAGAAGGTAGTCCAACCTTAAGGGATGCATGACTGTACTTGTTTCCATAAATTTAAAACCTGTTAAAGCGAAAAGTTTTAAACTTGTACTTTCCTGGGAGAGCTGAGGCATCTGTGACCTTGACTGGGCCTAGGCTGCTCCACCAGCCTGGCTGACCTTTCTCTGGCTCCACAGGGAGTGGACGATCCACCCATTCCTCAGAGCAGAGAATCTGCACCACCTCAAACTCCATCTCCATCCCAGGCAGGGCTCATAACTCCTTACACCTGCCCTTCCCCTCCTGCAGAAAGCCCTGGAACCACAGGACCCTCCCTTCTGCCAGTCTCAGACCCAGCCACTCTGCCCTGTCCTCGAGCCCCAGTCCTCTCTTCCTTCATCCCAGGGCCTATCTCAAAGAAACGCGTTAAGATTTTCCCTCCTAAATTTGAGATTCTTGCTTGGCTCTGGTCCAGGACTCAGGCTGTCATCACTGAGCCAGCTCCCCCAACCCGGACTCCGACTGGACATGCCAGCCTACAGATCACCTCTACTTTGGGATCTCAGAAACAGCACGTCCAAACTCCAGCTCCTAATCTCTGCCTGAAACCTGCTCCCCTCACCAGTTTCCCTATCTCAACTCTTCTATATGTTCAGCCAAAAGGAAAACTTGATTGTCCTTCACTCTGCCCTTTTGCTCAAAGCCACACTGGCTACAACAGGAAATCCTGCCGGTTTTCTTTATATTTACCAGGAATCTTCTGGCTTACAGTCCTTCTACCGCCACTGCTCTGGTCCACAAACCAGCATCATTCTTCGGAGTCTATTCCAGTATGCTCCTTACAGGTCTCCCAGCCTCCACCCTCGTCACCCCTCCCCCACCCTGTCTCCCCCGAGCAGCCTTTGAAATACTGTAAAAACTCTAACTTAGAGATCGTCTTCCTCTTTTATTCACAACCCTCCCAGAATCCTCAGACTGACGGCCCAGCTGCTCAGGCTGCCATGCAGAGAGACGACTCCTCACACTCTCTGTTTCCTGCACACAGAAGTCGGACCCCAGGTTTCCCGGATGCTCCCGGCTCAGGCGCACCTCCAAGGCTTTGCACACGCTGCTCCCACGGCCTTTCACACTCTTCCACACTTCATCACCCTGGCTCTCAGAAATGGGGACCCCACCCCTGAACCCCCACTGTTCTGGAGACGGGGGCCTGAACTGCAGCGACCTGAGCAGCAGGCCCTCATCGGCGGCTTTACGATTTGGGTCAGGATCTGGGGAACGCAACGGTCACCTGGGCCGGGTCCTTTAGCGCGTTTGTCGCTGTAGGACCCTCTGGGCGCCAGGCTGCCGGGAGACGCGTGTGATAACGGCGGACACCCGGGCCGGAGGTCCCAGGAGGAGGTCACCCGGGCCGCGCTCACACCAAATCTCAGATCTCCTCCTGTGCCGTGGGGACAACACCTCTTCTCGCTCTTTCCGGCTCCTGTTACCTCGGCACAACCTAGCGACCAGCAGCCTCCGCTCCGGTAGACAACCTCAAAAGCCGCGAAAGGACCGCCTCCAGGAAGATGCCGGAAGTCCCGCCCCGTCCTATGTCGGACTCACGGAAATGCCCCAAGTGTGGGCTTTCATTGGTGCAGAGCAGCAAGAGCGCTGTGTGCTCAGTCTTCTGGGTAATGTAGTTCCTATCACCCAACAGATCGACCCTCAGACCAGGCTTTCTACTAACATCCTGGGCATTAATGAGCCAAGGGACTCTGTGGCAAAGGACAAACTAGACATGTCAAAGTAGAGTCAAAAAGTCTACATATTTAACTTTTTTTGAAATCGGATTTAACTCGTATTTCTCAACATAAACGATGTTGCAGGAATACAGACAGTGCAGTCAGAGGTTTAAAAGAGTGACACTTGCTTCAGTCCTTAATTTTTGTTTTTCTCTGTTTTATTTTTTTAAACTTTATTTATTTATTTTTCCTCCAAAGCCCCAGTAGATAGTTGTATGTCATAGTTGCACATCCTTCTAGTTGCTGTATTTGGGACTCGGCCTCAGCATGGCCTGAGAAGCCGGGCATCGCTGCACTCCCGGGATCCGAACCAGGGCAGCCAGCAACAGGGCGCGCGCACTTAACCGCTAAGCAACGAGGCCGGCCCTCTCTGTTTTATTTCTATATAAAGACTACAGAGGTGAAATTCTTGGAGGAATGTTCAAGTAAGAAAAATCAAGTCAATAATATTTTGGAATAAAAATGTAAATTGTATTCAACAAAGTATCTTGGTTAGCTTCCTTAGTGGCTAAACATAAATACATAAAATTAGATAATAAATCCATAAATCCATCGTTGACACTATTAACTCCGCATGCCTTGCAACACCACCAAGAGATTGTGCTAAAATACTACTTTTGTGTGGGAGTGAGGTGAGGTGCTGGTAATAATAGTTATAAGTGTAAAATTCCCAATATTGTTTTGGAATTTGAGAAGCTATTTGTAAATGTCATAAAGCAATGAGCATAGAAGACACAAAAATTATTTTAATGTACAAGGTTGGAATAAGTTTTTTAAAAGAGAGAAAAAGACATCATAAATTTACAATAAGATAACAATGTGTAATTGGCATCCTGGCATAGAATTTAAGTTGAAACCTAGCAGAATAAACTATAAAGTTTATAAAGAGGCACTCTCATATTTACATTCTTCCTTCAAGGCTGAGCTCTGGCGGTACTACAGAATACTGGGAAATGGATGCTTTAAAGAAAAAAAAATTGTTCAGGCTTAAGTGGGAATAAAATATATATACCTCTTAAAAGATCATGGAAGACAATGTATTTGTGAATGATAGAGCAGGAGTTTGCAAACTGAATATAAAATTATCACAAAATGTACACAAACTATATGAATATAACAGGCTTCTATTACCAAAAACAAATCATAAACATTGTAATGACAAGAACACATGTGGAAAGACATTGTGCCATCTATAATTTTTAGAGGGTTAATATATAAATAATAAATAAATTTAATGTCTTACAAATAACGAAGAGAAAAATTGACAAACAGAGACTGCAAAACTCTTGCCTATCACCTCAGATTAAAATTACAAAAGGCAAACAGCAATTAAAATTCCAATTATTGGAAATCAGAAAAATGCAAATTAAAACAAAACAGATTGGTGGTGGGGCCAGCCCAGTGGCTGAGTGGTTGAAGTTCTGGGAGCTCCACTTTGGCGGCCTGGATTTGCTGGTTCAGATCTAGTCCAGACCTACTCCGCTTATCAGCCATGCTGTGGAGGCATCACACGTACAAAACAGAGGAAGACTGGTGCACATGTTAGCTCAGGGCTAATCTTCCTCAAGTGAAAAAAGAAGAAGATTGCCAACGGATGTTAGCTCAAGGCGAATCTTCCTCACCAAAAAAAAAAAAAAGAAAGAAAGAAACCAAACAGATTGGTGGGACTCTGGAAGTCTGACATTACCAAATGTTGGTAACACTGAAGAAATAACTAACTTTCATAAACTATCATGGGGTGTCTATTAACATTATTTTGGTGAATAATTTGGTATTATACAGTAAATTTAAACCTATGCTTCTTTGTGGAAAACAATTCTTCCTATGCACCACATGACCCAGCGCCCAAATCAGAATACCTGGCAGGTGTGTCTTAGTAGCAGGGTTATAACTGCCAAAATCACGGACAAAGCAGCAAGCAAACACACAAACAAAACTTTCAAGAAAAGAATGTAAAATTGAATGTATTTATTCCTACCATAGAATACTCTACAAAAATGAAAAGAAGTTGATACACGTGTGTCAAAAGAAAATTTCACGGATACTTAATTTTTGGATCTAGTTGGCTTTTATTTAATGATTCAGGAAGCAGGAAGCATCAAGTCTAGAAAATAGAAAGGAGCTCCAAAACCTGTACAGAAGGCAAAGATCACACACACAACAATATGAGAACAAGGAAGTTACACTAGGCAATAGCTGATTGGTTAGAGCAGGGTTACTTTCCTCACATGGGGCAAAAGGCAAATCTGGAACTAGACTGTGAAAAACTAAAGTAGGCATGTCTGATTGGCTGGCCTTAGGTTTCCACTTGGGGAGAGCCAGGTACTTAACTAGAAATAGAAATTTGGTTAGGTTTCAGTTGGCTGACGTGGGGCTTAGCATGAGCTACTCCATCGTGGGCCTAGTTTAGATATTTTCATACATGAAGAACAAAAGAGTAAAATCACAAACAAGACAGTTTTTTGGCTTTTATTAATAAAGCTGCTGTTGCTGTGCCTATTTGCATACAAGTATTTCTGTGACAGGATTTAATTGTTCTTAACGATGTATCTACGAGTGAGTTTACTGTGTCATATGGTATGCGTATGTAGAGCAAGATAAGAAATGACAACAGGATTTTCTACAGTGGTTTATCATTTTGTATTCCCAGGAGAAATACGGGCGAGTTGCAGCTGCTTCTTTTTTTTTTAATAATTTTATTTTATTTTTTCCCCCAAAGCCCCAGTAGATAGTTGTCTGTCATAGTTGCACATTCTTCTAGTTGCTGTATGTGGGACGAAGCCCCAGCATGGCCGGAGAAGCGTGTGTCCTGCGCACCCGGGATCCGAACCCGGGCCGCCAGCAGCGGAGCGCGCGCACTTAACCGCTAAGCCACGGGCCGGCCCGAAGCTGCTTGTTGTCTTCATCAACTTGGTGTTGTCAGTCTTTACATTTTAGTCATTCAAAGGAGTGTGTATGGTTTCTCATTGTGGCTTTAACTTGTATATACAATGTTAATTAATGATGACAAGCACACTTTAATTGGCTTATTTACCATTTGCACTTCTTTGGTGACATACATTCGTTTTGAGGCTGCCCGAGACAAGTCTCTGAAGTAAGGTCCCTTGCTTATTAAACCTACCACCTAACCAATCTGGAGTGGTCTGCCTCTTTCTTCACTCTCCTCTTCCCCTCCACGTACAGGGGCTGGTTTGCAAACCAACACTCATCCTACTGCTTGCAGAAACGGGAACACCTCCTTATAACATATGACCTTAAAGACCGTGGGCTTGAGGTGACCCCAGGGCCCCAGAACTAAGGGCAAAGAGGCACTAGACACTGCCATCTCCTATACCAGTGTGTCAGGATCATTACTGTGGGGATCAGGACCACTGAGGTTATGGAAATTTGTCCACGTACCTGTGAAAGGTCTATAAATGCTTTCACTGCCCTGGTACCTGTAGGAAGAGGGAGGTTGTGAGATAGAGGTGATCATGTTGGGGTTGTAAGACTGAGCTGTTCCCTCCCCGCCTTCCCCTTGAGAGGAGTGATCTCAGGCTGACATATAACTTCAGCTTGTAAATCCCCAGCCCTACCTCTTGCCAGCTCTGTGGCCTTGGACAAAGACTCACCCTCCCTGAGACTCAGTGTGTTCACCCGTAAAAAGGGAACACACAGTGCTGTTGTGGGTGTCAAATGCATTAGCGCATGTCCAATGCTAAGAATCAGCTACTACTGACCACAGCATTAACATTTCTGTAAAAGCGTTTTGAAAACTTGGGTGTTTCTTGCTTGCCTTTTAAGGCTTTAAATGAACTTGATATTTAATAAAATTCTTAGAGGTTTCTCTGATTCTTTCTCTGACACCGAATAGGCAATGTCTTTTTCTTTCTTTCTTTCTTTTTTTTCTTCCATGTAAAGTATGAATATTTATTTCAGGCTTTAGATCCCAATCGATTTCAAAAAACAAAATCTGATTTCTCTCCTCAGAGTAGCTGAGGGCTCCGTGTTAGGATGACTTCCTGGAGGCTGAAGGGGCTCTGTGCCCCTAGGAACACATTTCATCAGGCTTAGCACAAAGTCCCTGACGCGTGCTATGCCCCAGCCTTAAGAAGGGAGAGAAACAAAATTCACCACCATGGGGCTGAACGAATTCACGCACACAAATGTAAAGGAGCAGCTAAACCTTGGCAAATTAGGCAATGTCTTTTTCCGTCCTAATTCCCTGATAGCAATCCTTTGTCCTACAATTCGATCCTATTCTGGTACTAAGTACCTAGATTTAGCTACAGACCCCTCAGGTTTAAGAGCTCAGTCCCACAACTGCCCTCACTTCAGAAGCCAGTGCTAAGCACCAGGTCTCGAGGGCCCCTGTACTTGTGTCTGATTTGGCTACAATCTGGAGGTTCCCATGACGACCCCCTCAGGTTCAATAATCACTAGAATGACTGAGAGAACTCAGGAAAATACTTTACTTATGTTCACTGGAGTAATATAAAAGATACAACTAAGGAACAGCCAAACGGAAGTGATGCACAGGGCAAGGAGGGGGCAGTTGGGCAGGGGGAGAGCTTCTATACGCTTTCCAGATCAGCCAACTCTCCATCATGTGAATGTGTTCACCAACTAGAAATTTATTTAAGAGTTTCTATACCCTGTCTCCAGCCCTATATCCCCTCCCTGGAGGTCTGGGGTGTGGATGAATGTCCAACTCTCTAATCTAGGGGTCTCACCCTAAGTCACCTCCTTGTGTAAATTCAGGTTTCCTCTAAAGGAATGAATAACAGGAATCACATGAATAACAAGACACATTCCTCTCACTCAGAAAATTGCAAAGGCTTTAGCACCTCTGTGCCAAGAACTGGAGACAAAGAGCAAACACAGATTTTTATTATACCACAGAGGTACATTGCCATTTCAACCAATCACTACTGGCTTTTCATTTTTATGGGTAAAATGGCCTATGAGTAGTGAAGAAACTTTATTGGTAATCAAGAACACTGATGTTCAGCATATTGCCATAATCAAACCACTGTAACCATGGGCCCTCCAGGACCAGTTCTTATCAGAGAACCCATCTCTTATCAACAGAGTGATTAAGAATTGCCTTTCAGATAATTTGCAAAGTCATGTAGCCAGAGCATGCACAGAAGAAATCTTGATCTGAATGAACCAAAGATTCTCCTCCCCATAGAACCAAAGGACCAGGGCATGACTGGAACTTAAAAGTCAGACTCTTATCAGAAGCAAGAGGTCCCTCATTCAGGAAGATCCAGTGTTAAAATTCCTTCCCCGCCTCATCATAAATATTTAGAACCCTATCATAAAAGTTTAGAACATCATCATAAATGTTTAGAACCCTGTCAGAAATGTTTAAAACATTACCATAAGTGCTCGAAGCCCACCAATCAAAACCTATACTGCCAGCAATTCTGAATGCCAGCCTGTTCTCCCTAATCTTTTGAATTTTGCCCCAAATCCTGAATCAGAGAGACACACCTGAGGGCACACGCCCTCTGTCTCCCTGCAGATCGATCTTGCAGAATAAACTTGATCTCGTTTCCCAAAGGCTGATGACATAATTAATTGGCTTGTTTCGGGCCGGCCCCGTGGCTTAGTGGTTAAGTGCGTGCGCTCCACTACTGGCACCCCGGGTTCGGATCCCGGGCACACACCGACGCACCACTTCTCCGGCCATGCTGAGGCCGCGTCCCACATACAGCAACTAGAAGGATGTGCAACTGTGACATACAACTATCTACTGGGGCTTTGGGGATAAAAAGGAGGAGGATTGGCAATAGATGTTAGCTCAGAGCCGGTCTTCCTCAGCAAAAAAAAAGAGGAGGATTAGCATGGATGTTAGCTCAGCGCTGATCTTCCTCATGCTCACACACACACACACACACACACACAATAATAATAATAATTGGCTTGTTTATGTGCACTGGGCAAGAGAACCACAATTTTTTGCAGTAACATTAGCTAATGAAAAGTTCAAGGGTCTGGTTAAAAAAATGGGCCAAAGACCTTAACAGATACCTCTCCAAAGAAGATAGACAGATGGCAAATAAGCATATGAAAAGCTGTTCCACATCATATGTCAGCACGGAAATGCAAATTAAAACAACACGAGATACCACTATATACCTATTAGAACGGCCAAAATCCAGAACACTGACAACTCCAAATGCTCGTGAGGATGTGGAGCAACAGGAACTTTCATATATTACTGATGGGAAAGCAAAATGGTACAGCCACTTTGGAAGATAGTTTGAGAGTTTCTTACTAAACTAAACATACTGTCATCATACAATCCAGTAATCATGCTCCTTGGTATTTACCCAAAGGAGTTGATAACCTATGTCCACACTAAAAAAAAGCACATGGATGTTTTTAGCAGATTTATTCATAATTGCCAAAACCTGGAAGCAACAAAGATGTCCTTCAATAGGTGAATGGATAAATAAACTGTGGTACACCCAGACCAAGGAATATTATTCAATGTTAAAATAAATGAGCTGCCAAACCATGAAAGGACATGGAGAATCTTAAAAGCATATCAAAGTGAAAGAAGCCAATCTGAAAAGGCTATATGCTGTATGATTCCACCAATATGACATTCTGGTAAAGGTAAAACTATGAAGATCGTAAAAAGATCAGTGGCTACCAAAGGGTTCAGGGTTGAGAGGTTGGGGGGAGAAATGAATAAGCAGAGTACAGATGTTATTTAGGGCAGGGAAAATACTGTGTATGATAGTAATGGTGGTGGATACATCTCATTATACATTTGTCCAAATCCAATGAATCTACAACACTAACAGTGAACCCAGTTGTGAACTCTGGACTTTTAGTGATGAAGATATGTCAATGCAGATTCATCAATTTTAACAAATGTACCACTCTGTTGGCAGATATTGATAATGGGGGAGGCTGTGCATGTACAGGGACAGGAGGTATATGGGAAATCTC